GATCTACACCATCGGGGTAGGATGACGCGCATCACCGGACCTGACCACCCGATCCACGACAAACGTAGGTCACTAGGGACCAATACGACCCAACGGGGCTTACTAATGTGCATCCGACTTGAAAAAAGAAATTGAATGTTTACGCTTTAGTTTATACTACCATAAAAGATATCCATATTTATTAGCGGAAGGTCCGGGGTTCGATCCCCGGCCGCGTCATACAAAAAGACGTTAAAAGATGGTACTTGTTGTTACCCTGTCTTGCGCTCGGCATTAAGGGGCTAAAACAAGGACTGGTCGGCTCGGAGTCAGTATACTGTGTCTGAGCGGGGTATTCATGTTAAACTGCGGCATGGCATCTCAGTTGGCTAGCACTATAAATCGGCATCAGTCCGGACTAGTACAAGCAGCCACACAAACACATACACGTACATGCACGTCGCTATAGAAGCGCAATAATCTTGGACGCGACGTTAAACCCAATTTCACCTCACCATATTTATTAGTGGTGAGACGATACACCGATGCATCGGTGGATCGCGATATTTCGCTTCCCGATACAAGTATCGATCAAGTTGCGCACTAAATGAAAGGTATCGATTCTTACCTTAAATGTATTCTTTAATAAATGTTACGCTAATTAGTTGTGAAAATGTAAATATGTCTATCCACTGCACCATACTTGACACTGGCAACTGTAAATCATCAGAGTGCCAGGTATTTTAATATATCCTGTCATGCTGACTAAATTTATGAAAAATATGGGTTACGCACTGCAGATACGAGCACTTGCAAGTATCGTGATATGTATCGCATCGTGAGCAAGGTATCGTGATACGTATCGATTCGCACAGTTGGTGTATCGTTCAGCCCTAATATTTATACATGGTAGCTATGAGATTCTGTTGCGTATGATGACGACGATGATGGTGATGTGATGGTGATGGTGATGATAATTATGATTTTGAAGGGGTGGTTATGGTGATGATGATGACGACGACGATGATGTTATGATAATGGTGATGACGACGACGACGACGACGATGATGATTGTGATGGTGATGGTGATGATTAAGGTTAGTGCGGGTGTTGGGTTTAACGCCGCTTTCAGCAGTCATATCAAGGCGTGTCATCTTAATGAGAAAGCACACAGTGAATCGGGTCAAGGCTAGTTACCACTTTCGAGAAACTCAGTAGCACCCTATACTTACACGGATTCAAATCCCGGTCAGTTTCATACCCGTGCTCATGGGTTTCACCAAACTTCCAAACGAGACCTGCATCGCAACATTAACCTGACGCCCCGCGATATTACAAGACTACTGTTACAAGCGGCGTTCAACCCAACTCACTAGGTCTGTGTATCTAGCCAATCAGATGCTGTGTAACGTATCCTTGGTAGTATCAGACTTGTTGTATATGTCCTGTTGATGGTCCTATGTTATTGTATCTCCACAAACCTGGCCCATTCACAAACCAACCTCAGTAAAATATGGATTTGAACCACGATCTGTGTACTCTATGAAGTAAAAGTGCTGCGACGCAAGGTGTCACCCATGGGCACAGATGCAAGGTTGGGGAGAGGTTGATGGGAGGCTGGGGAGAGGTTGATGGGAGGCTGGGGAGAGGTTGGTGGGAGGTTGGAGACAAGTTGGTGGGAGGATGGAGAGAGGTTGATGGGAGGCTGGGGAGAGGTTGGAGGGAGGTTGGAGACAAGTTGGTGGGAGGATGGAGAGATATTGAAGAGATGTTTGGTGGAGGTTTCGGAGATGATGGAGGGAGGTTGGAAAGAGGTTGGGAATATTGGGTTTAGTGTGGCATGTATGAGTTATTGTCCCTTAATGTTGAAGCAAAAGGTACAATTTCTAAAGTTTTCAGGACATTAAATAGTCACTTCGGCTGCCATGATATAAAAATGTACTCGACAAACAAAATGGCATCTTGACTGACACCCTTAATACCTTCTGATCCCATATGCTGTCGCTGGACCAACTCAAGGTCACACGACGAGGACAGATGTCAGAGGCATCCTTAAATTCAATATGGCGTCTGTAGCCTCCTGCTCTCCAGTTCAAAAGGCAGACGATATGACGTGAACAATACAACAGACGATCAGAGCCATCTTCTTATTGTCCCCCTAGCGGTCAGCTGTCGCCGCTCACGTGGTCTCGGGCAATGTCCGTCACTAATAGGGTGGAAAAATGTTGACAATCATCCCGCGGACATGACCACATGTCACTGGACATGTGTCACGTGACCGGAGACAACCCCCGGACAAACTCACCCGCATAAAGGAGGGCTCTGGGGTGTTATAGCATGAGCCAATTGGAATCGGTTCAACAAAATAAAATGTCAAATCGACCATGCACTTTCAGTCCACAGAAAGACGTGTTAACCAACCACCTTTTAAAAGAGAGTCAGGTTGATTTCAATTACATGTTGGAGTTGATACACAGTGGACTAGTGGCCAAAATCATTTATAAGTACAGTAAACTACGGTTATAACGAACTCAAAGTGACCACTAATTTTGGTTCGCTATAACCGTAGTTCGTTATAAGCATATATACAGTATATATACAACAAATGGACGGGACTAACAAATAAGTTCGTTATATCGGTCAGTTCGTTATAAGCGTACTCGTTATAAGCGTAGTTTACTGTATGAAGAGGGGTGTCTATCACAGACCTGGGTTTCGTTCCTTAAGCGAGCCTATATAAGACAACCATCACTCCCACGACAGTCGTAGCGCTAAGATTGCTTGTGGGTCGGAATCCTGTTTGTTTTAGAGAGTTGGGTTCTGCGTCACGAGGGATTGGATAATTGCTCATGTCATCAACCACTGGTTTGTGACACTCAGTTACTTACTGACAACTCCGACACAGCCGCGTTATTTCCCACAATTCTCCTTGGAATCTAACCTTTTCCCTTCATGCCCCGATGACATATAAAGAGCTGTCAGTCAGAAGAAGTGGTTGATGGTACCCAATGGCTATCAGGACATACGGAACAAGGCGAAACCTCCACCAGACAAAATCCAAAATGACAAAACAACCCCCTTCCGGACAATAGCAATGATTTGTATTACTCCCAGCAAATTAACCAATCCATTAGCTTTATCCACAGTGTCCACACGTAACTCCTCGATATTCACTTAAGGTCCACCTCTAACATCCCGGCATTTATGCCCGTCACGCCGGTAACCTTATACTGATAATGTGCAGCTTTTAATGTGTAATGTCTATTACTATGTACAAAGCTAAAAAATGCGCAATTGATTACTGTCATCAATAACGTGACAAACATTAAGTCCAAATATGAAATTTGTCACGAAAGTGTTAATATTATTCAACAAGAAATGGGATGTGGCCGCGTGGTTTATACAGCTAGGGTGTCATGTTAACGATCGTTGTCTTCATATAGAATAATAACGAAGCAATCCCGTCTCTGACAGGATCGTGGTAATGCTAGCAACAAGAGCATGACGTGTCAATGACGTCCGACATACGACCAAATACCTCAATGACCGTGATGTTTGATTGACAGACTGCTCCGCGGTTTTGCATCCTCCACAGATAGCCGAGAATAGTATGAGACATTTAACATACCACAACGTGCAAAGAGACGTATTTATGTCTTTCAGCGGCATTTTTGCGAGATCAGTCTCTAATCCCCATATTTGCAATTGAAACTTGCAATTTGACATGCCGTTCCACAGAACATCCATATGGCACGCGCAAGTGACACCCGACACTACTGTGGACTCTTCCAGAGAAGGGGTAGCGGGTTTAAATTGACACACCCCTCCTCCTGCGATTCTCCCCGTGATCTGAATGCCGTATTGGCAGTCACGTCAGAGAGACATTGCCCCACTTCTGTCATCAAATGAGGTGACACCCGTAACAATGGCGTACCCCGACATCCCTCGATGTAAACAGGTGCTTGCGATCCCTGTGTGTGCATTAACAGGTGTTGGGGTTGGACTATTGTTTCTTAAGGGGGGATGGTCACCTTGCCCTCGGTAAAACTGCTCATTACCTGCGACGCGCGTCTGTGACGGGAACATCACCCGGTAATCACAAGCTAATTCCTTTCAAATCAGATGGACAATACTCCCACTAACAATACGCCATTAACTGGACGGGGCAGCATCTCAAACTGCCATGTGTTATGAGACTCCATTAGAAGCATCCACTCGGCATTAACGGGTGGCTTTTAAAGTTCTCATATGATAAAGAGACTTCAACGAATGGTTGGTGTAATTGCACAGGGACGTTTACAACAAGCAGATTTAAGGCACGAATATATAATTTATCGTTTGATAAATGTTAAAAATCTCGCACCGCACTCTACCATCAATAAAACAAAGTCTTTGCGTTTATATGAAGATCAACAATTCTAAGATAATTATTCGGGAGTGAACGGTAGTTAGGCCTGGTCCTTTCGATTTTTATCGACCGGACAGAGGATAAGGTCAAACATAAAGAAAACGTTAATATTGGATATTTGATATCAGTGTGAAATACATTGACATTATATCATAACACTTGGATAGTTTATTCGTCGGTATGGCCGCGCTTTTGTTTGTAAGTCGTAATGTTTCATCTCTAGAGATAGTTTTCTTGTTCGGCACAAATCACATCTAATTATAAACTAACATTTTTGCGAAAATATTCTTCCTACCAAAAGTTTGTGAAAATATGACGGCTTACCAAGCAACGTCTATTCATGCAGTAGGTGGAGCAATGGACATAGTGACAAGAGTGACGATGGTTCAGCCACATGGAAACAAGCATGTTATCAATACGTCAAAGGTACATAAAGGACAACAGTTACCTACAGTGACACAGGCTGACAAGGAGCGACAGTAAAATACATTCTCGTTACAGATAGAAAAGGTGACTTTACCATTTCATTTCAGAACGGATATCCAATTAAATTTTTAAATCACCCAACAAGACTGCAATATCAACCCTGTGAGCCCCGTCCTTCATGTCCGCCATGTCAACCACTTCGCCCAGCCCATTTTATCCATCCTGCCCATCTTATCCATCCTGTCCATCTTATCAACCCTGTCCATCTTATCCATTCTGCCCATCTTATCCATCCTGCCCATCTTATCCATCCTGCCCAACTTATCCATCCTGTCCATCTTATCAACCCTGCCCATCTTATCCATCCTGCCCAACTTATCCACCCTGCCCATCTTATCCATCCTGCCCATCTTATCCACCCTGCCCATCTTATCCATCCTGCCCATCTTATCCACCCTGCCCATCTTATCCACCCTGCCCATCTTATCCATCCTGCCCATCTTATCCATCCTGCCCATCTTATCCATTCTGCCCATCTTATCCATCCTGCCCATCTTATCCATCCTGTCCATCTTATCTATCCTGCCCATCTTATCTATCCTGCCCATCTTATCCATCCTGTCCATCTTATCCACCCTGCCCAACTTATCCACCCTGCCCATCTTATCAACCCTGCCCATCTTATCTATCCTGCCCAACTTATCCACCCTGCCCATCTTATCCATCCTGTCCATGTTATCCACCCTGCCAATCTTATCCACCCTGTCCATCTTATCCATCCTGCCCATCTTATCAACCCTGCCCATCTTATCCACCCTGCCCATCTTATCCATCCTGCCCATCTTATCCATCCTGTCCATCTTATCCATCCTGTCCATCTTATCCACCCTGCCCATCTTATCCATCCTGTCCATCTTATCCAGCCTGCTCGTCTTATCCAGCCTGCTCGTCTTATCCATTCTGTCCATCTTATCCACCCTGTCCATCTTATCCATCCTGTCCATCTTATCCAGCCTGTTCGTCTTATCCATTCTGTCCATCTTATCCACCCTGTCAATCTTATCCATCCTGTCCATCTTATCCAGCCTGCTCGTCTTATCCATTCTGTCCATCTTATCCACCCTGTCCATCTTATCCATCCAGCCCATCTTATCCATCCTGCCAATCTAAACCACCCTGCCCATCTTATCCATCCTGCCCATCTTATCCATCCTACCCATCTTATTCACCCAGTCTATCATATCCACCCCGTAAATCTTATCCACCCCGTAAATCTTATGCACCCAGCCCATCTTATCAACCCTGCCCATCTTATCCACCCTGCCCATCTTATCCACCCTGTCCATCTTATCCACCCAGTTCACCTGTTAATACCATAGGCCAAAGAATAATATGAAAACATTCATGTAGAGTATTTATTGAGGAGGACATGTCTGCTCAATTCAAACGCACACTACGTTATTCTTCCAGTTGCCATGCAACGTAACCATATTAATTCCTTCAGACACATACAAATCTATACGCTTCATTAATTACTAATGGTGTTATTTCATTTGATTAATATTTCAATATGTTCCCAAGTTAATGTGTGCTGAGTAGAAAACAATATCAACATTTATTCAATCTATAGTTACCAGATATTCTCCATGTTCCCCGATAAAACAGGTAGGTTTCCTTGTTAAAATAATCATATCTGTGTGACGACAGACTACCAACTGCACTGACACGGACACTCATTACGTTGGAATCGAGATTTTAAAAGGTTAAGACATGAAATACGCTTTGGCGATATTCACGATGATTAGGCAATTGTGAGACGGCTATGAGACATATGACACAGTCTTCATCTACCTCCTCGACAGCTATGTAGAAAATACAAGACATGATATGTAAAGCAAGGCAAAAAGCCATCGAGCAATCTGATAATCCGACCCTGATTACCTTCAGCCAGAAATTTCTGACAGATACAGAAGGGTTTCACATTGTGTTTCTACAAATAGTCGTGAAGTCAAATAGGTTTTCTTTACTGAAATTGAATACACGTACGAATAAAATGAAGTATCGCTGAATCGGGCTGTTGTTGTCAAATTGCTCATCGTCAAACCAGATTGTAACGGATATGTAATTGTTGTTGACGAACGATAGCGTAAATCTCATTTCAGCGTCTGTGTATCCTTGTGAAGATTTAAGCGACAATAATGAAGTGACAAGTGCCTTCAATCTGCAAAACGGGGCTCGTAGGTTTCACCGAAGTGGTAAACGTCTGAGACCTGCATCACTTCGGGCTTTCCTCCCACATTAAGCTGACACGCCGTGATCAAACTGGAATACTGTTAAAAGCGGCGTTAAACCGAACTCACTCACTCTGCAAAACAGGCTCCTGAGGGTATTCGCTGATTTGAAATGGGGCTTAACGTCGCGTCCGCAGCGAAATGCGTGTACGTGTGCGTGCTTTCGTGCGTTGGTGGCTGCTTGCACTGGACCGGACTAATGCGTTTTATATTGCTTGCCCAATGGGTACCAGGCTGCATTTTAACATGAATACACCACTGTATGCTGACTCCGAGCCGAACAGTCCTCGTTTTATTCCCATAATGCCGAGCGCCAGGCAGGGTGACAACAAGCACTATCTTTTAACGTCGTTTTGGTATGAGTGAGTGAGTGTGGTTCAGAAGCCGTTTTGAACAGTGTTCCAGTTCCGGGGTGAACCGGGTTTCGAACCCACGATAATAGGTTTGTGGCGTGCCCAAGGGACACAACTCTGCAGAGCGAATTGCGGCGCCTTAGACGACTGTGCCCCAATCCAACACACACCGGTACCCATCCTTGCACTCAGCAATTGTCCAGCTATTTGGTGGCGGTCTGTAAATAATCGAGTCTGAACCAGATAATCCAGTGATTGACATCATGAGCATCGAGCTGTGCAGTTGGGATAGAATGACATGCATCAACAAAGTCAGCGAGTCTGACCACCCGATCCCGTTAGTCGCCTCTTACGACAAGCGTGGGTTGCTGATTGCTGGCTGCTGGCTGCTGATCAGAATACACGGAACGCAATACTGTATCCATCGATACTCAATGATTGATTCCCTTCATTGATTGAATCATTGACTGATTCTATTTTAAACGCACCGAATAAAAAACGTGTCATCTCAAACTTTGTGATTTTTTTCTTCAATTTTTATCATAATTCTGTTTAAATCATTTCAAGAAATAATGGAGCATTTTATTATTTTGTTTGTTGTTGAACGCCGCACTCCAATCCACCCCAACCCCGACCCCCAAACCCGACACATTCAGCAATATTACAGCTATATGACGCCTGTCTGTAAATAATCGAGTCTGAACCAGACAATCCAGTGATTGATATCATGAGCATCGATCCACGCAATTGGGATGAGATGACATACATCAACCAAGTCCCTGACGACCTATTATAACCCGGATCTTCACGGATGTTAAATTTGTAATACATCTTTTAGAATTATTTCCAGAAATAATGGAGTATTTTATTTTTAATTACTTTTGCCTTTCGGTACCAAAGAATATCAACAAAATCAGGCCACCATGGTTCTAACATATCTAATTAGAAATGGAATTAAGACCGGATTTCTTTCCTGCTTCAGATAGGCGTTACCATAAAATCAGAGCAATGGATTAAATAGGTATCATCTAAATTCTCCGTTGCGAGTTTAGGTCGGTCATACAATACTGCATTGTTGTGAGAGTACAGGGTGTCGTTGTGTTGTAACACAGATGTAGTCGAGACAGTCCCCGACACCACACACCAGTTACCTAATTTACTACCGGATGTGACATTCATGTCCCCGGCCTCAGTCGCGTTAGGTCTATGTATCAACCTATTTGAATCAACAGCGGAACAATCAGACAGGCGTATTAGACAAAGTAGCTCACTAACCGTCTTTGTATGGAACCCGTCTCCACTAGCACGGAGGTGCGAATACGCCTTACCTGTAATTACTATGATCTGAGTTCTCGCGAGCCGTCAATGGCGACGGGGATGTGTTTGTCGAGTGTATTTGCCTCGTCACGAGCGGACGGGTAAGTAAAAGGGGGACAAACCTAGGGGATCACTTGTTCCGACCGTCCCTCACTCGCCCATCAAGACTGCCATTCACACCGTCATTCTCGGCACGCACCGGCTTTGTTGAAGATCAAACACAATAACAAACCCTTCAAATTGAGGACCATTTCCCACCCCGGATAAAAAACATATGTGATGCGTAGACATAGTCTGGACAAAGGAGAGCGGCTTCAGAAGTTCTCTGTAATCTGTTGGACAAACAGCGACGGACTTGCAGCTTAGTCAAAGGACAGCCAGCTCTTTTTTTGTGACTTAACTCCAGCCAGAAATATGCACATAGTATATCTGCCGTACATTGGCACGATTTCAAGTGGGTATTATTCACGTCAGTGGTTACATCAAGGATCGTCAATGTTAAATAACTTTGAACGATCTAATGATGATATTTGGGTTTATTTTATGTCACCCCCGACCCACTTGGGCCAGCAGTTTCTACGCGATGTTGATGTAATTGCACACGAGGCGACTCCCAGCCGCGTCCCTTGCACGTGCATCCCGTGCTTGGCATGCGCAGCACCTGACATCGCCCACAAGCATGCCTCTATGTGTCTCCGCAACTCAGTAAACACGAAGACTGGTTAAATTTGCCTGATGTTTTGCCTCCATAAAGAATTAATTATGTTGTTTGTTGTTTAACGCCGCGCTCAGCAATATTCCTGCTATATGATGGCGGTCTGTAAATAATCGACTCTGGACCAGACAATCAAGAATCATCAATGACATGACCAGCATCGATCCACGCAATTGGGATACGATGACATGCATCAACCAAGTCAGCGAGCCTGACCACCCGATCCCGTTAGTCTTCTCTTACGACAAGCATAGTCGCCTTTTACGGCAAGCATGGGTTGCTAAAGACCTATTCTACCCGGATCTTCGCAGATCGACAAAGAATGTATTACGGGACTGTACACCGCTATTGTATACTTTTGTCATTAAACAAATCAAGTTTATAGGTGAAATTAGACAAATAAAAGCATGTATTCATAATGACATGTTCACGATAACGCCGGAATCGGACATTGGCGTCTTTAGCAGAGATTTCCTAAGCTTTTGTGGGGGTAGGGGGGAAACAAATTTTGTCCAGAGTTGCGTCCCTTGGGCATGCCAGAAACCTATGATTGTGGGTTCCAATCCCGGTTCGCCCCGATTATATTTCTAGTTTTGTCGGCACCATAACCGTGTTTCACCGAAGTGGTAAACGTCTGAGACCTGCATCACTTCGGGCTTTCCTCCCACATTAATCTGACACGCCGTGATATAACTGGAATACTGTTAAAAGCGGCGTTGAACCCAACCCTCCAAGTCACTCACTCATATAGTCATGTGAACGTAAGTATACTTGTTCAGGGCTCTATATTTCCTGTAGTCCCGTCAGCATGTTTTTTAAAACGTGCAAACGGTTGATAAAATACTTGTTTGGGACCCAAAGAAATTGTAAAGGGCTGTGTGCCATACATTGTAAAGATCAACTCGCGAGCTTAGCGCACGTGCAACAGCGACAGAGAACGTGTTCCACGAGCATCACGCAAGGGTGACTCACACGATATAAATACAGACCACAAGTTAACAGTCTTTGTGTATTGTTCAAATATTTTTAACAAGAGAATGTTTTGTCAAAGTTTTAGAGTAGGGATGTCTTTTAAGTAGAAGGATATCCTTGTAACTCTCCACTCCTTAAAAATAATCCGTCGCGGTTCAATTACATTTTAGGAATGGAGAATTCAGACATTCCCCATCTAAACATATATATGTTGAAGTTTGACGAAATCGAAAGTACATAGGTATGGTGCTGACAGAGCAATGGTCGTATTCGAAAATAACCAGGGATTCGAACCCCAAACAAGCGGATCCTGACACTGATGCTGAATATAGCGGTTTGTTTCACTCAAGGCACATCTGGAAGTTGAACGGGGACTCGATCAAACGGCGGCCACAATCGGCCAGTTCTTCTGACCAGACAAGGGGCCTCTGAATCGATCGAGATTTAAGTCAACAACAGATAGTGACACCGAGCCACCGTCTGGGGCGCACTAGACTGGATATATCATGTTGTGAGAACACACTTCGGCCGTCCAGGCATGCAAGGGTGATCCCGGAGATTTGTCGACTTGAGCATCATTTAACCGCGCAATGGGACATGTATCTTCTGTTCTTTTCGTGGCTTCTGGAGCCAGTGTAAAGTCAGAAGGAGCAAGAATAAAGTCAGACTGGACCAGTACGAAGTCAGAAGGAGCAAGGGTAAAGGCAGACTGGACCAGTATAAAGTCAGAAGGAGCAAGGATAAAGGCAGACTGGACCAGTATAAAGTCAGAAGGAGCAAGGGTAAAGTCAGACTTGACGAGTACAGAGTCAGAAGGAGCAAGGATAAAGTCAGACTGGACCAGTATAAAGTCAGAAGGAGCAAGGATAAAGGCAGTCTGGACCAGTATAAAGTCAGGAGGAGCAAGGATAAAATCAAATAGACCAGTACAAAGTCAGAAGGAGCAAGGATAAAGTCAGACGGGACCAGTATAAAGTCAGAAGGAGCAAGGATAAAGGCAGACTGGACCAGTATAAAGTCAGAAGGAGCAAGGATAAAGGCAGACTGGACCAGTATAAAGTCAGAAGGAGCAAGGGTAAAGGTAGACTTGACTAGTATAAAGTCAGAAGGAGCAAGGATAAAGGTAGACTTGACTAGTATAAAGTCAGAAGGAGCAAGGATAAAGGCAGACTTGACTAGTATAAAGTCAGAAGGAGCAAGGATAAAGTCAGACTGGACTAGTATAAAGTCAGAAGGAGCAAGGATAAAGTCAGACTGGACCAGTATAAAGTCAGAAGGAGCAAGGATAAAGGCAGACTGGACCAGTATAAAGTCAGAAGGAGCAAGGGTAAAGTCAGACTTGACGAGTACAGAGTCAGAAGGAGCAAGGATAAAGTCAGACTGGACCAGTATAAAGTCAGAAGGAGCAAGGATAAAGGCAGACTGGACCAGTATAAAGTCAGAAGGAGCAAGGATAAAGGCAGACTTGACCAGTATAAAGTCAGAAGGAGCAAGGATAAAGGCAGACTGGACGAGTACAGAGTCAGAAGGAGCAAGGATAAAGGCAGACTGGACCAGTATAAAGTCAGAAGGAGCAAGGATAAAGGCAGACTTGACCAGTATAAAGTCAGAAGGAGCAAGGGTAAAGTCAGACTTGACGAGTACAGAGTCAGAAGGAGCAAGGATAAAGGCAGACTGGACTAGTATAAAGTCAGAAGGAGCAAGGATAAAGGCAGACTGGACCAGTATAAAGTCAGGAGGAGCAAGGATAAAGGCAGACTTGACTAGTATAAAGTCAGATGGAGCAAGGATAAAGTCAGACTGGACTAGTATAAAGTCAGAAGGAGCAAGGATAAAGGCAGACTTGACTAGTATAAAGTCAGAAGGAGCAAGGATAAAGGCAGACTTGACTAGTATAAAGTCAGAAGGAGCAAGGGTAAAGTCAGACTGGACTAGTATAAAGTCAGAAGGAGCAAGGATAAAATCAAATGGACCAGTACAAAGTCAGAAGGAGCGAGGATAAAGTCAGACTGGACCAGTATAAAGTCAGAAGGAGCAAGGATAAAGTCAGACGGGACCAGTATAAAGTCAGAAGGAGCAAGGATACAGTCAGAAGGAATTTAAATTGGTCGCTGTTGGCTAACCTGTGACTGTCGGTGCCTTGGTAGTGATGCTTGAATTGGTCGGCGTCAGCTAGCCTGTGACAGCGGCTGCCGTGGTATTGATGCTTGAACTGGTCGCCGTTAGCTGGCCTGTGACTGTCGCTGCCTTGGTAGTGATGCTTGAATTGGTCGCCGTTAGCTGGCCTGTGACTGTCGCTGCCGTGGTATTGATGCTTGAATTGGTCACCGTTAGCTGGCCTGTGACTGTCGCTGCCTTGGAAGTGATGCTTGAATTGGTCGCCGTTAGCTGGCCTGTGACTGTCGCTGCCTTGGTATTGATGCTTGAATTGGTCACCTTTAGCTGGTCTGTACCTGTCGCTGCCTTGGAAGTGATGCTTGAATTGGTCGCCGTTAGCTGGCCTGTGACTGTCGCTGCCTTGGAAGTGATGCTTGAATTGGTCGCCGTTAGCTGGCCTGTGACTCTCACTCCCTTGTTATTGATGCTTGAATTGGTCGCTGTTAGCTGGCCTGTGACAGTGGCTGCCGTGGTATTGATGATTGAATTGGTCGCCGTTAGCTGGCCTGTGATTCTCACTGCCTTGGTATTGATGCTTGAATTGGTCGCCGTCAGCTGGCCTGTGACTCTCACTGCCTTGGTATTGATGCTTGAATTGGTCGCCGTTAGCTGGCCTGTGACAGTGGCTGCCGTGGTATTAATGCTTGAATTGGTCACCGTTAGCTGGCCTGTGACAGTAGTTGCCGTGGAAGTGATGCTTGAATTGGTCGCCGTTAGCTGGCCTGTGACTGTCGCTGCCTTGGAAGTGATGCTTGAATTGGTCGCTGTTCGCTAACCTGTGACAGTGGCTGCCGTGGTATTGATGCTTGAATTGGTCACCGTTAGCTGGCCTGTGACGGTCGCTGCCTTGGAATCGATGCTTGAATTGGTCGCCGTTAGCTGGCCTGTGACTGTCGCTGCCTTGGTATTGATGCTTGATTTGGTCGCCGTTAGCTGGCCTGTGACTGTCGCTGCCTTGGTATTGATGCTTGAATTGGTCGCCGTTAGCTGGCCTGTGACTGTCGCTACCTTGGTAGTGATGCTTGAATTGGTCGCTGCTGGCTAACCTGTGACAGTGGCTGCCGTGGTATTGATGCTTGAATTGGTCACCGTTAGTTGGCCTGTGACTGTCGCTGCCGTGGTATTGATGCTTGAATTGGTCGCCGTTAGCTGGCCTGTGACTGTCGCTACCTTGGTAGTGATGCTTGAATTGGTCGCTGCTGGCTAACCTGTGACAGTGGCTGCCGTGGTATTGATGCTTGAATTGGTCGCCGTTAGCTGGCCTGTGACTCTCACTGCCTTGGTATTGATGCTTGAATTGGTCGCTGTTAGTTTGCCTGTGACAGTGGCTGCCGTGGTATTGATGCTTGAATCGGTGGCTGTTGGCTGGCCTGTGACTGTCGCTGCCTTGGTAGTGATGCTTGAATTGGTCGCCGTTAGCTGGTCTGTGACTGTCGCTGCCTTGGTAGTGATGCTTGAATTGGTAGCTATTAGCTGGCCTGTGACTGTCGCTTCCTTGGTATTGATGCTTGAATTGGTCGCCGTTAGCTGGCCTGTGACTCTCACTCCCTTGTTATTGATGCTTGAATTGGTAGCTATTAGCTAACCTGTGACAGTGGCTGCCGTGGTATTGATGCTTGAATTGGTCACCGTTAGCTGGCCTGTGACGGTCGCTGCCTTGGAAGTGATGCTTGAATTGGTCGCCGTTAGCTGGCCTGTGACTGTCGCTGCCTGGGTATTGATGCTTGAATTGGTCACCTTTAGCTGGTCTGTACCTGTCGCTGCCTTGGAAGTGATGCTTGAATTCGTCGCCGTTAGCTGGTCTGTGACTGTCGCTGCCTTGGTAGTGATGCTTGAATTGGTAGCTATTAGCTGGCCTGTGACTGTCGCTTCCTTGGTATTGATGCTTGAATTGGTCGCCGTTAGCTGGCCTGTGACTCTCACTCCCTTGTTACTGATGCTTGAATTGGTCGCTGTTAGCTGGCCTGTGACAGTGGCTGCCTTGGTATTGATGATTGAATTGGTCGCCGTTAGCTGGCCTGTGACTCTCACTGCCTTGGTATTGATGCTTGAATTGGTCGCCGTTAGCTGGCCTGTGACAGTGGCTGCCGTGGTATTAATGCTTGAATTGGTCACCGTTAGCTGGCCTGTGACAGTCGTTGCCGTGGAAGTGATGCTTGAATTGGTCGCTGTTGGCTAACCTGTGACAGTGGCTGCCGTGGTATTGATGCTTGAATTGGTCACCGTTAGCTGGCCTGTGACGGTCGCTGCCTTGGAATCGATGCTTGAATTGGTCGCCGTTAGCTGGCCTGTGACTGTCGCTGCCTTGGTATTGATGCTTGAATTGGTCGCCGTTAGCTGGCCTGTGACTGTCGCTGCCGTGGTATTGATGCTTGAATTGGTCGCCGTTAGCTGGCCTGTGACTGTCGCTACCTTGGTAGTGATGCTTGAATTGGTCGCTGCTGGCTAACCTGTGACAGTGGCTGCCGTGGTATTGATGCTTGAATTGGTCACCGTTAGCTGGCCTGTGACTGTCGCTGCCTTGGAATCGATGCTTGAATTGGTCGCCGTTAGCTGGCCTGTGACTGTCGCTGCCGTGGTATTGATGCTTGAATTGGTCGCCGTTAGCTGGCCTGTGACTGTCGCTACCTTGGTAGTGATGCTTGAATTGGTCGCTGCTGGCTAACCTGTGACAGTGGCTGCCGTGGTATTGATGCTTGAATTGGTCGCTGTTAGCTGGCCTGTGACTCTCACTGCCTTGGTATTGATGCTTGAATTGGTCGCTGTTAGTTTGCCTGTGACAGTGGCTGCCGTGGTATTGATGCTTGAATCGGTGGCTGTTGGCTGGCCTGTGACTATCGCTGCCTTGGTAGTGATGCTTGAATTGGTCGCCGTAAGCTGGCCTGTGACTGACGCTGCCTTGGTAGTGATGCTTGAATTGGTCGCCGTAAGCTGGCCTGTGACTGTCGCTGCCTTGGTAGTGATGCTTGAATTGGTCGCCGTTAGCTGGTCTGTGACTGTCGCTGCCTTGGTGGAGATGCTTGAATTGGTAGCTATTAGCTGGCCTGTGACTGTCGCTTCCTTGGTATTGATGCTTGAATTGGTCGCCGTTAGCTGGCCTGTGACTCTCACTCCCTTGTTATTGATGCTTGAATTGGTAGCTATTAGCTAACCTGTGACAGTGGCTGCCGTGGTATTGATGCTTGAATTGGTCGCCGTTAGCTGGCCTGTGACTGTCGCTGCCTTGGTAGTGATGCTTGAATTGGTCGCTGTTAGCTAACCTGTGACAGTGGCTGCCGTGGTATTAATGCTTGAATTGGTCACCGTTAGCTGGCTAGTGACGGTCGCTGCCTTGGTATTGATGCTTGAATTGGTCGCTGTTAGTTTGCCTGTGACAGTGGCTGCCGTGGTATTGATGCTTGAATCGGTGGCTGTTGGCTGGCCTGTGACTATCGCTGCCTTGGTAGTGATGCTTGAATTTGTCGCCGTAAGCTGGCCTGTGACTGACGCTGCCTTGGTAGTGATGCTTGAATTGGTCGCCGTAAGCTAGCCTGTGACTGTCGCTGCCTTGGTAGTGATGCTTGAATTGGTCGCTGTTAGCTGGTCTATGAATGTCGTTGCCTTGGAAGTGATGCTTGAATTGGTCACCGTTAGCTGGCCTGTGACTGTCGCTGCCTTGGTAGTGGTGCTTGAATTGGTCGCTGTAAGCTGGCCTGTGACAGTGGCTGCCTTAGTAGTGATGCTTGAATTGGTCACCGTTAGCTGGCCTGTGACTGTCGCTGCCTTGGAAGTTATGCTTGAATTGGTCGCTGTTGGCTGGCCTGTGACTGTCGCTGCCTTGGAAGTGATGCTTGAATTGGTCGCTGTTGGCTGGCCTTTTACTGTCGCTGCCTTGGTAGTGATGCTTGAATTGGTCGCTGTTAGCTGGCCTGTGACTGTCGCTGCCTTGGAAGTGATGCTTGAATTGGTCGCTGTTGGCTGGGTTGAGATTGTAGAATGTCTTAATCATCACAGTCGGTATCAGCAGATAAAGTGTCAGTCAGTTGGTTCTAGCATAAAATTCGGCACGGGAAAGGCAGCTGTTTTATAAGTCGAAAAAAAAGACATTTGATTTGTCAATTGTCGAAGAAGTCGATTCAGACCGCCCCACAAGGCCTGTAGGACTGGGGATGTGGCGTGCCATCACATACCTTTCTAACGTGAATGTCCGCGGCTCCTACACTTTATTGCCATGCAAGCTAGTAAAAGTTTTAGTTTTTTTGTTTTTCATGAAATATTTTAAAACACGGTATGGGAGGAGGGTATCAGGTTAATTTTCTATATCCGTTTTAGTCACATATACTTGACAGCGTACCCTTCCTAGCTTAAAACCTGCGTTTCTAACACTTTTTCAACTTTTCAATTTACCGACGAAGATTACTCCTATATACCACAGAGACCGAGGCACCACAGTAGAAGCTTATTTTCAAGCTCCATCTCAGCGCGTGACACCTTTGTGACGGAGCTTTGGAGAGCGAATAAAAACGAACTTTCGCTGCGAGGAGCTTGCTGAGTGGGCGTACACGTGGTTGGACCCTGTCAAATCCCACCCAGTCTAGTTGGTTAAATCTTACATGACAACATGATTACTATGCAAATGGGAAATTATTACAACCTTTTCCATACCTATTTCCAAACTATTTATACCAGTGCGTGCCAAAGATTCTATTCAGCATGTCTATCTACGATGATAATCGGTCTGCAGGTTCATGCACATTCCATTTGGCTATTACGAGAAAAACAAAGTTTAAGTTAACATTTCAATAGAAGTTCTAAAATTGTTCTTGTTGATGCTTGGTGTCTGCACAATCGGATCAGCCGACTCAGGAAAATTGAAAAAAAATATTCCAGCTTAAATTTCACCACCGAGTCCGATAATCAGACCTACAGAAGAAGATGACAATTTGTTTTTCTGTCTGACACAGGGTGAAGGCGCGAGAAGCAGCCATGATACATGGCAGCCATAGCTCACGGGTACCTCTACCCGTGAAGATTCGGGGTAGAATTGATCTTCAGCAACCCATGCTTGTCGTCAAAGGCGACTAACGGGATCGAGTGGTCAGACTCGCTGACTTGGCTGATGCATGAGGTCGTATTCCAATTGCGTGGATCGATGGTCATGTCAATCACTGGATTGTCTGGTCCATACTTGATAACTTACAGACTGCCGTCAAATAGCTGGAAACAAACAAATCACAGGTACTTAAAGCACTGTACACACGATACAAAAATAACTTTCTTGTAACAGTTCACAAAATCGTCGTCCCAGAGTCTGTTGAAATACATGTAAACCTACCAATAAAACAAAGGTCAGCTACAGTTCCGACACCCGACAACACCACCGTCACAGCAAGGGTGCAGAGCGACGCTCAGTGGCGCAAAGATGCGACTTGCTATAATTTGTAAACTTCCTGTAATTAGTCATGTAATGTTTGTCATTGCTTCTCTCGCTACTACTCGAGCTCAGCTTCTTTGCTTTTCTAATTGCATGTTGCGTTAAATTATTTAGATGCCAACATTTTTACTACATTGCAATAATGTTCAAAAGATCCCAAGGCCAGACAGTTTTAATTACATGATCACGTCAACCCCGGGGTACACGCTCCATGGCAATCCTGTAACACAGCCGTACACACTTCACGTCAACCCGGGAAAACAACCGTACACACTCCACGTCAACCCCGCAACACAGCCGTACACACTCCACGTCAACCCCGTAATACAGCCGTACACACTTCACGTCAACCCGGGAACACAGCCGTACACACTCCACGTCAACCCCGCAACACAGCCGTACACACTCCACGTCAACCCCGCAACACAGCCGTACACACTCCACGTCAACCCTGCAACACTGCCGTACACACTCCACGTCAACCCGGGAACACAGCCGTACACACTCCACGTCAACCCTGCAACACAGCCGTACACACTCCACGTCAACCCGGGAACACAGCCGTACACACTCCACGTCAACCCCGCCACACAGCCGTACACACTCCACGTCAACCCTGCAACACTGCCGTACACACTCCACGTCAACCCGGGAACACAGCCGTACACACTCCATGTCAACCCGGGAACACAGCAGTACACACTCCACGTCAACCCTGCAACACAGCAGTACACACTCCACGTCAACCCGGGAACACAGCCGTACACACTCCATGTCAACCCGGGAACACAGCAGTACACACTCCACGTCAACCCTGCAACACAGCCGTACACACTCCACGTCAACCCCGCAACACAGCCGTACACACTCCACGTCAACCCAACAACACAGCCGTACACACTCCATGTCAGCCCGGTAACACAGCAGTACACACTCCATGTCAACCCCGCAACACAGCCGTACACACTCCACGTCAACCCCGGAACACAGCCGTACACACTCCACGTCAACCCCGCAACACAGCCGTACACACTCCATGTAAACCCGGTAACACAGCAGTACACACTCCATGTCAACCCCGCAACACAGCCGTACACACTCCATGTCAGCCCGGTAACACAGCAGTACACACTCCATGTCAACCCCGCAACACAGCCGTACACACTCCATGTCAACCCCGGAACACAGCCGTACACACTCCACGTCAACCCCGCAACACAGCCGTACACACTCCACGTCAACCCCGGAACACAGCCGTACACATTCCACGTCAACCCTGCAACACAGCCGTACACACTCCACGTCAACCCCGCAAAGCACAGCCGTACACACTCCATGTCAACCCCGCAACACAGCAGTACACACTCCACGTCAACCCCGCAACACAGCCGTACACACTCCATGTCAACCCCGCAACACAGCCGTACACACTCCACGTCAACCCCGCAACACAGCCCTACACACTTCACGTCAACCCCGCAACACAGCCGTACACACTCCACGTCAACCCCGCAACACAGCCCTACACACTTCACGTCAACCCCGCAACACAGCCGTACACACTCCACGTCAACCCCGCAACACAGCCGTACACACTCCATGTCAACCCCGCAACACTGCCGTACACACTCCATGTCAACCCCGCAACACAGCAGTACACACTCCACGTCAACCCCGCAACACAGCCGTACACACTCCATGTCAACCCCGCAACACTGCCGTACACACTCCACGTCAACCCCGCAACACAGCCCTACACACTTCACGTCAACCCCGCAACACAGCCGTACACACTCCACGTCAACCCCGCAACACAGCCCTACACACTTCACGTCAACCCCGCAACACAGCAGTACACACTCCACGTCAACCCCGCAACACAGCCGTACACACTCCATGTCAACCCCGCAACACTGCCGTACACACTCCACGTCAACCCAAAAACACAGCCCTACACACTTCACGTCAACCCTGAAACACAGCCGTACACCCTCAACGTCAACCCGCCACACAGCCGTACACACTCAACTGCAACCCAAAAACACAGCCCTACACACTTCACGTCAACCCTGAAACACAGCCGTACACCCTCAACGTCAACCCCGGAACACAGCCGTACACACTCCACATCAACCCCCCAACACAGCCGTACACGCTCCACGTCAACCCTGAAACACAGCCGTACACCCTCAACGTCAACCCCGGAACACAGCCGTACACGCTCCACGTCAACCCTGAAACACAGCCGTACACCCTCAACGTCAACCCCGGAACACAGCCGTACACGCTCCACGTCAACCCCACAACACAGCCGTACACCCTCAACGTCAACCCCGGAACACAGCCGTACACGCTCCACGTCAACCCTGAAACACAGCCGTACACGCTCCACGTCAACCCCACAACACAGCCGTACACGCTCCACGTCAACCCTGCAACACTTACAACCCTCATAGCACCCTATTGCTCCTCGTGAGGGGCGACTAAATTGGACTGGATGGTCGGTGACTTGTTTCGTTGCGTGTCATCGTACCCGATCCGTGGCAGGCGTTAGCTCGTAATATGAACCATTGGTTTGTCTGGTCCCGAGTCGAGTATTTACATGCCTGTGATTGTACAACACACCAACAAACAAACAATCCTTCGCCTATACCTCTCAGTGTACCTGTATCATGTTTGCATCTTATCTACAACGCACACATCTCTCTCTCTCTCTCTCTCTCTCTCTCTCTCTCTCTCACACACACACACACACACATATATATATATATACACACACACACGCACACATTCACATACCCACTCGCAGACAACACTCTCTCACACACAAAGACACTCACACAGTCTCTCTCTCTCTCACACACAGACACTCTCTCACACACAGACACTCACAGTCTCTCTCACACACACAGACACTCACACAATTTCTCTCTCTCACACACATACACTCACAGTCTCTCTCTCACACACACCGATACTCACAGTCTCTCTCTCTCTCTCTCACACACAGACGCTCACAGTCTCTCTCTCTCACACACACACACAGACACACTCAGTCTCTCTCTCACACACAGACACTCACAGTCTCTCTCTCACACACAGACACTCACTCAGTCTCTCTCTCACACACAGACACTCACAGTCTCTCTCTCTCTCACACACATACACTCACACAGTCTCTCTCTCTCACACACAAAGACACTCACACAGTCTCTCTCTCTCACACACAGACACTCACAGTCTCTCTCTCACACACAGACACTCACAGTCTCTCTCTCTCACACACACAGACACTCACAGTCTCTCTCTCTCACACAGAGACACTCACACAGTCTCTCTCTCACACACACAGGCACTCAGTCTCTCTCTCACACACAGACAAGCACACAGTCTCTCTCTCTCTCACACACACACAGTCTCTCTCTCACACACACACGCACGCACGCTCTCTCTCTCTCTCTCACACACACACACACACACACACACACACACACACACACTTTTTCGAACTCCATGAATATCACCGCGGCGTATCGTGTTGGGTGTACACACACAGTATTCCCACCCTTGTCAGTACCACCCGTCCGCTTAATCAACCCCTCCCGCCTCCATCTTCCCGATTATATCGTGGTACCCGCAAAGCCTCTCAGAACTCGCCTCACGTCCCCGCACTGTCTCCTCACGAGGGAGCGGATACCCTGCCCTGTAGTGCACATTTTACACTGCATTGAATAATTGATTATCCATGTCATAAACATCCCGGCGGTCGACACAGTGTCGACATGCCTCGGGGAGCCCGCACTCCACGCAGCACGCGCTATGACGTCACTGTTTAAAGTTATCGACTTTAATTGTGATGAGTTGGCAGTATTTTTCAGCATCTGCAGTCAGGCATACTGTAGCCTCGATGTTATCTTTATTAACGACAACACAATAGCAACACCGCCCGCGTATTTGTGACAGATGGTTGGATACGTCCCAAAACATTTGCAAGGGAATGAGCAATAATTCCTTTTTAACTCAACTTCTATGAATATTAGATTTATGAAACGCGCGAAGCATGCAACACACCAGATTGTAGACACAGAGGTACCCGGTGAAGCCAAAAAAACCCTTTCTTTCTGTTACTGTTTCATGTCTAATTTAACAGCACTAGGCAAAAAAACAACAACCAACAACAAAAAACATACTGTAAGACGTTCCCAAATCTAAAGAACCCACCTTACGATTATGATGAGAATGAAGACAGGGAGATTTACAAAGAGTGAGTGAGTGAGTTGGGTTTAACGCCGCTTTTAACAGTATTCCAGTTATATCACGGCGTGTCAGCTTAATGTGGGAGGAAAGCCCGAAGTGATGCAGGTCTCAGACGTTTACCACTTCGGTGAAACCCACTAGCACGGGTATGGTGCTGACAAACCTAGAAACATAATTGGGGCGAACCGGGATTCGAACCCACAATCATAGGTTTCTGGCGTGCCCAAGTGACGCAACTCTGCACAGCGAATCGCGGCGCCTTAGACGACTGGGCCACCCGTGCCCCCCATTTCCAAAGAGGAGAGTGAGGGAGTATGGTTTTACGCCGCTTTTAGCAATATCAAGGCGAGGGACACCAGAAATGGGGTCCACAGATTGTATTAATATGGAGAATCGAACCTGGGTCTCAAGCGTGACGAGCGAACACTTTAACTACTAGCCTTCCCCACAAATCCCCAAAGAGTGAGTGAGTATGGTTTTACGCCGCTTTTAGCAATATTCCAGCAACATCACGGCGGGGGACACCAGAAATGAGCTTCACACATTGTACCCATGTCGGGAATCGAACCCGGATCTTCTGCGTGACGAGCGAACGCTTTACCCACTAGCCTACACTCAGCTACTTAGCAACGACATGCACCATGATTGAGTTGGTACGGAATGCGCAGCTTTAAACAAAACTTCAGTGGTGGGCTTCACACTATACCCATACGAAGAATCGAACCCGTGTCTTCTGAGTGGCAAGAGGCCCCTTTAACCACTTCGTCCAAGTATAAAGTCGACAATGATGTCCTTTATTTCAATTGAACCCCCGTGAAGATCCGGGGTCTTCAGCAACCCATGCTTACCGTAAAAGGCGACTAACGGTGACATGCATCAACCAAGTCAGCGAGCCTGACCACCCGGGTCAGGCTCGCTGACTTGGTTGATGCATGTCATCGCATCCCAATTGCGTAGATCGATGCTCATGATATCAATCACTGGATTGTCTGGTCCAGACTCGATTATTTACGGACCGCCATCATATAGCTGTAATATTGCTGAGTGCGGCGTTAAACAACAACCAACCAACCAATTGAACCTTATTAAAACCTTGGATGGATAGAATGAAAAATTAAGGATATTTAAACTGGCCACACATAAGAATGGGCACATCGGTATTTCTCTTGAATCTTAAAAACGAAGTTCAGAATCAAACCCAGACCAGAGCCCTGAGTGGGCTATCGGCATGCCTTCTCTACAGGAGTGTGCAACGTGAAGGCTTCCTATCGACAACGTGTTATAATCTCAGCTGAATAACGCCTGGCTACCATTCGAGCGGAGCTGACCTTGTCGGCAGAGGTCATCTGCGCGTGTCAAGGAAGACACGTGATTGGACCGCATGACGTGTATTTGCATCTGTGACGTAACACACTCATTGATTTTTACGGAATCAATTTGGAGCCGTCAGATTTCTTTGAGTTTGCTTTAGAAGGCAAACATTACAGCTACCGATAGCCTTTGATTGTGCACTGCCGGCAAGAGCGGGAGACGGTGTTGCGGGGACGTTGATGTCGTCTCCCTTCTCATCCCCCGTACTCGTCTGCTGGGACTACGGAATGACAGAACTTTATTCCATGAATAATTGGTTGTTCCAGATTTGCTCATAGATAAAATTATAATTTAGTTGTTAATGAAACTCTTTCACAATGACAAATGAGTATATGTGAAGTGGTTCTACTTTCACCGTTCGGCAATTTTTTATAAGAGATTATAGAAAGCTCATGGAGGGGGTATATTGATTGATTTGGGGATCAATTTCATCTTCATCAGTTCGCTAAACAGTGAAAGCTCTTTCTAAAGTTTCCCAATGAATGCGACTAAATCATTAGCATCTCCATTGAAGGAATGAACTTTGACAAATGATGAGAAATATTGGGATGAACTTCCATCTTTTAGATATTCTCTTATTCTCATAACACAGTCTCGCAGCTAATACCAAGTAAGAAGGATTACGCCCCCTTGAACAGCTTGTATTCTGTACGGGTGTCACTGCATGCCCGCTCAATGTGGGAGGAAATCCCGAAGTGCACTTGATCACCTGTGTGGCCCTGACCAGGGATCAGACGTTGAGAACTGTCATCGAAGGAAAGCTCTTTAAACCACATTGGTGAACAACTGACACCACTTTGGTCAACAACTGACACCACTTTGGTTAACAACTGACACCACTTTATTCAACAACTGATGGTTAACAATTGACACAACTTTGGTAAACACCTGACACCACTTTGGTCAGCAACTAAACACCACTTTGGTCAACAGCTGACACATATTTGGTCAACAACTGGCACCACTTTGGTCAACAGCTGACACCACTTTGGTCAACAACTGACAGCAATTTGGTCAGCAACTGACACCACTTTGGTCAACAACTGACACCACTTTGGTCAGCAACTGACACCACTTTGGTCAACAGCTGATACTACTTTGGTCTACAACTGATGGCAAACAACTGACACCACTTTGGTCAACAACTGATGGCAAACAACTGACACCACTTTGGTCAACAACTGGCACCAATTTGGTCAACAACTGACACCACTTTGGTCAACAACTGACACCACATTGGTCAACAACTGATGGTAAACAACTGATACTACTTCGGCCAAAAACTGATGGTAAACAACTGACACCACTTTGGTCAACAACTGACACCACTTTGGTCGACAACTGATGGTTAACAACTGGCACCACTTTGGTCAACAACTGACACCATTTTGGTCAACAACTGACATAACTTTGGTCAAAAACTGACACCACTTTGGTCAAAAACTGATGGTAAACACCTGACACCACTTTGGTCAACAACTGGCACCACTTTGGTCAACAACTGACACCACTTTGGTCAACAACTGACACCACTTTGGTCAACACCTGACACCACTTTGGTCAACATTTGAAACCACTTTGGTCAACAACAGGATGGTAAATACCTGACACCACTTTGGTCAACAACTGATGGTCAACATCTGAAACCACTTTGGTCAACAACTAATGGTCAACAACTGACACCACTTTGGTCAACAACTGACACCACTTTGGTCAAAAACTGATGGTAAACAACTGACACCACTTTTGTCAAAAACTGATGGTAAACACCTGACACCACTTTGGTCAACAACTGGCACCACTTTGGTCAACAACTGACACCACTTTGGTCAACAACTGACACCACTT